GAACTTAATAAGTTTCTGAGATCCCTCCTCATTCTTCTAAACTCCAATAAATATAGGCCTAACCAATTTAGTCTGTCTTCACACATCTGTTCTGCCCTCCCAGGAATCAGTCTGCTAAACCTTTGTTGCACATCATCAATAGAGAGGATATCCTTTTGTGGATAAGGAGACCAAAACTACAACAATACTCTAGGCGTGGCCTCATCAAGGCTCTGTGCAACTGCAGCAAGACATCCTTCTCCTGCATGCAAATCCTCACGCTTTGAAAGCCAACATATCATTTGCCACCTTCACGGTCTGTTGCACCTGCATGGTTACTTTCAGTGACTGGTATACAGGGATGCTTAGATCTTGTTGTGGTTAAATGGATCATGCACTAGAAAAATCAGGTTTTCATTTAATTCTTCGGCTGCAGGAGAATTTCTAACCCAAAAATAGACACAGCTCCTCCTTCATACCATGGTAAAATTCAACTGACTGCTTGACATCTACTAACAAATTGAGTAACTGATTCTTGTGGCTGTTCTGTAAGATATCAACTCTAGATGGTGAATTTTAAAGTTTACTTTTTCAAGAAGCTGGTCCAGCATTTCTCCTAGCTTAGAAAAATCTCTCTTGTTCTCCTGAGACAGGTCTGAAGTGTTTCCAAAGCTATATCTCTATTTTCACCATTTACGCATTTGGTTCTACAACAGCTAAACCTAAAGGCATAGCTTCACCCTTTGAAAAACAGCTTAAATTTGGATAGGATGTCTGCGATCTAATTCATGCATGAGGGTACATGGTAGTTCATGATATGTGCACGGATTAGGACATGCATGGTGGTTTATGAACAGAAATGTGCTCTTTGGCACCAGTAGTTCACACTTTAAACTTGGTACATAAGTCCCATTTTTGGGAAGATTTTCAAAGCTTAAAAGGTCAACTTATATATACCATGATCTACGGCATCTTATATTTAATAGGAGCATATGTAAAACAAACCTGGCCAGTTACAACACAGTTCTTAAGAATCAGACCCACAAAGGATACTGCACAGATCAGGAGTCAGAGTAAAAGCAATAGTTAGCATAAAAATGTACAAAGTTACCATTTTTATGTTCAGGCTAGATATTATTATCATTATTATTATTTCATTTAGTAGTTGTAGAGAAAGCTTTGCTTTAGAATGGAATCATTATCTGATTTACGGGTTTACCTACAGTGGATGAACCGCAGCAGTTCAAGTTGGCAAGTAACTACCATCTCAAGGGTAATTAAGGTTAGGTAATAGATGTGGACTTTACCAGTGACAACTCATCCCATGTATTGAATATGAACAGAGAATTGGAAAAGTATTGTATTAGCCATCACCAACACTCAAAGGAGCAATTACCAAAATAACTAAACACACAAAGTGAACAATGCGCGACATCACAGGAAGGCCATGAATTGATTGGCTGATGAGTATTGCAGGTTTGTTTCTTTCTATCTAGAGCTGGGGTGGGTTTGATATACTAAATTACCTTCTGGCGACAAAATAGCTTGAAGATTATCAAATAGGTCAATGATGGTACTTAGACAACTGGGCAATCCAACTTTATGGAGGATCAGAGGCAGTTGACTTGTTAATAAAATGGCAAGTATATTAAAGCAGCATATTTTGATTATGTCTGTTAGTGAGTTAATACAGATATGGTGGAACACCTCAGACCCAAGCTGTGTATTCCGGTATCACATAAAAACCTCAGCATGCATCTGTGCATGAAACAATCACCGGTGTACAAAGTGTCACCAGCCGGAACAGTCTAAGCATCAGGACTGGGCTTTCTAGAGCCATTCAAAATCTATTCCATTTATCCCGGTGACAGTGCCACACAATATAATGTGACAGTGGGACATCATCTCTGCATGGACTATGCAGTAGTCATTCCTACTGTCATAGACAGATGAATCTGCAACAGGCAGATTAGTAAGGACAAGACTAGCAGCCACTTCATTTAAGACTCTAGCAGCTTGGTCAGTAACAGTTCTACTGAGCAACTCTTGGTGGATGGGCCACCCAGTGTTCATTGTATACCCTCACCACTTTCTCCAAGTGGTGTTATGATGTAACAGTATTGATTCAACAGGGAGTAGGTAGAAGTGAGAGAGCGAGCAAGAGAGGGGGTGAGGGGGGGGGGGAGACAAAGAGTCCGTTCATGTAGTTTGTCCAGATTCATTTTTTTTTTTTTTTTTTTTAAAAAAGACTTTTTAACAGTTTGACACAGCCGAGGGGCTTGCTAGGTAATTTCAGAAGGCAGTTCGGACTCAAACACAATGCTGTGTGTCTCAAGTCACATGTAGTCCAGACCAAGTATGGAAGGCAGATAGCAAGGTGATAGGTATACAGCAACAGAACAGAAAAGCTCAAATTATTGCAAGTGTACATCCCAGTGAGGAAATTAGATTCTAGAAAGGTAATAAACCAACCAGGGAAGCCAAGGGTAGCATCAAATTAAAATAAAAAAAATACAACACATGGCAAAGACTCGTGGCAAATCAAAGGACTGGAGAAGTTTTAAAAGTTGAAAGATTACCAAAAATAATCAATGGGAGAAAATAAAACATTCTCTTTTATTCAATTCTGTGACCTGGATGTCTCTGGCTGGCCAGCATTTACTGTCCATCCCTATAAGGGAAAACTGACAAGTTACATAAAAATAGGGCTTCATTTTAAATTAAGGGCTTCTTTAAATATATAAAAAAAGAAGAGGCTGCAGTGAACAAAGATCCCTTGGAGAAAGCGGCTGAACAAATGATGTGTAATAATGGGGAACTATGGAACAGCATAGGAGTTGATTCAATATGTTGAATCAGTCTTCATGATAGAGGGCACAAACAGCATTCCAAAAATACTAAATAATCAAGAGGTTAAAGGGGGCAGAGGAGAGGAAATACGCCAAATAACTATCACTAGAGAAAAAGTACTAGGGCAATAAATGGGGCTAAAGGACCTGACAGGTTACATTCTAAAATTTTTACAGGTAGTATCTGCAGAGATAGTGGATACACTGATAACCATCTTCCAAGTATCCTTCAGTTCAGGAATTGTCTCTCGGTTGGAAAATTGCCAGTGACAACTCATCCCATGTATTGAATATGAACAGAGAATTGGAAAAGTATTGTATTAGCCATCTTCAACACTCAAAGGAGCAATTACCAAAATAACTAAACACACAAAGTGAACAATGCGCGACATCACAGGAAGGCCATGAATTGATTGGCTGATGAGTATTGCAGGTTTGTTTCCTTCTATCTAGAGCTGGGGTGGGTTTGATATACTAAATTACCTTCTGGTGACAAAATAGCTTGAAGATTAATAGCCTTATTCAAAAAGGGAGGGAAACAGAAAAAGCTAACTATAGCTTAACATCTGTTAGAGTTATAGAGTCAGACAGCATGGAAACAGACCCTTCGGTCCAACTAACCCATGCCAACCAAGTTTCCCAAACTGAACAAGTCCCACTTACCTGCATTTGGCCCGTATCCCTCAAACCTTTCCTATTTACATACTTGTCCAAATAGCTTTTAAATGTTGCAACTGTACCTGCATCTACCATTTCCTCTGGCAATTAACTCCACACATGAATCACCCTGTGTGAGAAAGTTGCCCCTCACGTTCCTTTTAAATCTTTCTCCTCTCACCTTAAAAATATACCCCCTTGTTTTGAACTCCCCCATGCTAGGGAAAAGACCTTTGCCTATTCCTCTTATCTATGCCCCTCATGATTTTATAAACCTCTAAGGTCATCCCTCAACCTCCAATGAAAAAAAAAGGCCCAGCCTCTCCTTATAACTCAAACACTCCAGTTTCAGCAACATCCTGGTAAATCTTTTCTAAACCCTTTCCAATTTAATAATGTCTTTCCTGTGGCAGGGCAACTAGAATTGCACACAGTACAATTAGAGGATACAAAAGCAGAGTATTTAAAAATTCATAACATAATCAAGCAGAGTCAACATGGCTTTATGAAAGGTAAATCATGCCTGACAAAAAAAATGCAATATATTTGAATTTCCAAAAGGCATTTGATAGGAACACACAAAACAATTTAACAAAAGCCCATTGTGTTGAAGGTGGTATAATAACATGGCTAAAAGACTGACTAACTAGCAGAAGACAAACAGTTGGGATAATGAAGCCATTTTCAGGATGGCATGTATAACGAGTGGAGTGTCACAGGGATCACAGATATCTACAAAAATATATTAACTTAGATGAGGAAAATGTACGATCACCAAGTTTGCGGATGACACAAATATATGTAGGAAGGCACGTGAGGATGACAAAGCCTGTCTACATCCCTCTGTAGAGTTTAAGTGTGCGGGTAAAACCAAGCAAATGGAATGTATTATGGGAAAATGACAGATTATGCACTTTGGCAGGAAGAATCGAGGAGCTGAATATTATTTAAATGGAAAAAGACTGCAAAAATTGAGTCAGACCACATTGGAAAAGGAAAGATCTTCAACAGCACTAAGTTTAGGTTCAGTTTTTTTGAAGGACCATCTGCTGCGGTACCATTTTTATTTAAACAGGTGAAGTCAAAAATGACGTGGACCAAAGTTTTGTTAGCCATCAAGCTGATGAAGGAGGGCTCAAGTGGTTAAACATTAAACCCCAAAGAACACTTATTTTTTGGAAAATTAGTGTTCAATAAGTAGAAATGGCAACTTTCATTTCAAACGACCAGAAGATGTAATTTGAAAATTCTCTGGTTTCAGCACAGATACTGATTAGTACTGACTCTGGGAATGGAGTAAAAACTGTAACTCTGCTTTCACTATGAATGAATTGGGGCTTATGGAGCTTAGAGCAAAGCCTTTCAAAATTAGCCATGCAGTGTACCTCGAAACAAGCTTAATGCAACAACTGGATTAAAAATAACTAAATGCATCCTATTTCAAAAGATCATGCGCTAAGTTTAGACTCTCAATCATGAATAATTATTACTCTTCATTTATTAGATAATACTCACGTTGACCCCAACGCCCTGTCCTTGGATTAAGGTAGTTGGGGTACAGGCCATTAGGTCTGTCCATTTTCTGTAACAACTTCCGAATATGCAACACCTGCAATTAGTTCGAAATTTAATTTTAACAATTGTGTCGCTATTAACACGTTAATTTATTAGTGTTATCTTGCTATGACATTGTTAAAATTGTTGAAATAATCATCTTTCTCGATGTCCTCCATTTCATGTGTATTTAGAATAAGAACACAGATTAACCAAATTCAAGCCTTCATCAATATTATTGTTAAAACTACCACAACACAAACATAGGCATGCTTGCAACATGCAATTTTAAATATCATACACTCCTGGGACTTGAACTCCCTGAACATCTGATTGGGAAGCTGTGATTACTAGAACACTAAATCCTTTAAGTACTACCTTTGCCTTGAGGTAAGATCGTAAATTGTAAGATTACCCACCAGCAATACCGTCACCTTGCATTCATATACACGGTATATGATTACTGAGAGTAAACAGACAACAGGCCATGGTTGAGAAATAAGGAATTTCATCAAACACTACATTGGAATGTATGCCTCAGGTGAACTACATGGCCTCCATCAAGGCCAATGATATAGCTCAGGTTTAATTGTTTAGAAACACATCCAAAACCAAGATTTTTGCTAATCCCAAAATCACTGATGAAGTGTGCAAAGGCTCTACATATTAGTTCAATTCTACTTAAGTGTAGCTTTAGAGGTTATAATAAATATGAATAATTTACAATTTTGCAATGAGTATTTTGGTATTCAGAAGATCAACCATTTATACAATTTGAAGCTAAACTTTCACTAATTGATGGCTTTTTGTTTTAGTTCTTCATAAGTGTAGCTATTGGCATCAAACCTACCCAAGCAAACTTCCAAGAACTTCCAAACTATGAGAGGGTTAAGGGTTTCTGGAGTTACGGGTTATAAGTGTTGAGATGTGGGCAGTATGGGAAAGACAATATTTATTGCCAATCCATATTTGCTCTTGGGGCACTAACATTCAATAAAAAACTCTCACTTATTAGGTTTGACAGATTCTATTGCGAACAGCACTAGAAAATATCTTGAATATTTTAATGACAATCCAGTTACCTTTGCAGTCATTTTCTGATGTCAATCAACAAAATTAATGGATTTACTGAATTCAGTATTGTAACATGACCTTTTGGAAATTGAAATCAAACTTGGGATTGTGAATCCTAGAGCACAGGATTACTAGATGATGATTCATCAGTCTTCCCTTTTTCTAATAACTTAAGGGTACCCCTATAGTTGAGATCATTCACGAATATAATATACTAGCCAAGATGAACTCCCTAAAACAATTCTTCAGATGGCCAAGTAACTGATAACTCCCAAAACAAAACAATAACTTTAAACATGGAAAGTCAAGGTTCAGTAGTTTCTCATATTTTACAAAGAAAGCATTATGAACAGGGTAGCGCACACTTACTTTTTTGTAGTAGATGGGATCCCCTGTCAGATAGCTCAGATGCACAAATTCCAAATGCAGTGTCCCAAATTCAGACAAAATGCTACTCCCAGCAGATGCCCAGCCCCAGTTCCGTCCAACACCACTGGTAAATCAAGAACCCAGCAAGAAAAAAAAACATACAATCACAAACAGAAGAGCAAAAGCCAGTTATCAGATGGTTGAGCACAGTGAAGATGGCAAGCAATTGGATTCTAATAACTACCTAAAGATGGATACCATAAATTTCTACTTCAGGTAGTCACCAAAAAAAATCAAAATAAACAACTGAACTCTCAAATTAAGTGTTTAACCAATAGTTGCATCATCTCTATGTCATCTCAAATACATATGATTGCCTTCTTGAACAACATTTTTTTTCCCATGTCAAAGTTGCCATTTGATACTCTAATAAAATATCAATGGCACTCTGGCATTTTATCATGCAAACACAACTATATTTTTGTATGATCATACTTGCAGCATTTCTCCTTCCAAACTTTAAAAACTGCTATACCTCTTTTCAGCTAATATTTAGAATGTTACTAAAATAACAACTCAAATCAGTCTAGTTTATGCACCAATGTGAATATCAGCCATCCTCAGTTAAGTGTGCTGAATAGGCCATAACAACAACATGAATTCAAAATTTCCTGTTGTTAGAAAAAATGACTACTTTTGTTGGTCAATGCTCCCTGGTATTTTCATTTGTTGTTGTTAACTTTATTACCATCCAGTTGTCACTTAGGATCCCACATGTAACGTCAGCTAATCTCAGACCAATTCCATTGATAGCAGCCCTGCTGCAAATCTGAACAATTGTACGTCCTAGATTCTAGCCCTGGGCCTAGCCTAACAAGCCTACAGCTAAATATGGAATGTGGTTGAGCCCAATCAACCAATATAGACAATACCGTCCAAATAAATCACCGAGTCTAGCCTTGAACCCAGCTTTTGTTTTGGTGTATCTTGCTTCCAATCAGAATAGACTGCAACCTTTCCAGAATGCTTAGAGACAAGGAGTTTTTGGATTTTGAAATTTTCTGGAACATAATGTTAGGATGCCTAAACACATTTGTCAATTTGTACGACAGAACTTAATGTTAAGACATAAAATGAGCATGGTCAAATCCATTCATTTGAAAATACATAATAATATATACAGGGATATGCAACCATCCAGAATGAAACTGAACATTATCAACAGTTAATCTCTCCTCTCCTTTGTAAACATTCCTTCATGTTTACGTATCACAGTAATATATATTTGAAGTCATTTAAAAGTTCTCACGTCCTGACTTAATTTGTTGTTAGCGTTTTGGATACAGTGACCCTTCCTCAGAACGGGAACATTAACCTTGATTTCTTTCCATAGATGCTGCCAGACCTGCTGAACTTTTCCAGCAACTGTTCTTGTTTCTGATTTCCAGCATCTGCAGTTCTTTTGGTTTTCATTCTGACTTAATTTGTGCCCCGTATACCAGTGTTCCCCAAACTATTTTTCAATGTGACCCTATTTAACATGCACTCACACACAAAATTAAACAGCCTCTCCCCCTGCTGGTCCTCTCCCACACACACAATTATCAACCCCTCTACATCCCTCCCAGACAGACCAATAATGAATCACTTACCACACATTAGATCAGTCCCCCTCCTTTTCCAATGATCCCTACACAAAATAAGCAGTCCCTAGCGCACACAAATAATCAGCCCTTCTCCACTCTCTCGCACACAGTAATTGGACCTCTCCCTCACGTTTGGTCAAGCTGCCATTAAGTGCAATTCAATCTCTAGGCAAGAAGTCTGTACAGGAGGCAGACAATAGCAGAAATAGCAAAGCTTGAAGCCACTGCTCACTTCCCCAGGGCAGCCACATGGCTTCTTGGTTTTCTCCACACTCTTGATACAGTCACTAACTGGGTTACACTCGTCAGAGATTTACTGCAGTGCTGCAAATGATGAGTCAGAATATTGTGGGGTCACGTTAAAAAAAGTTCCGGATAACTGGCGTTTCTGGATTTCACAATTCCAGGCTGAAGAGGTTACAATGGATAAACTATAGTTACTGAAGCAAACTATAAACTAAAGATGGGATCTATGCAAACGTTCAGATGGAAAACTGATCAATTTGATTGGAGGTTAATATTTGAGATTTTATGGAGATGACAGATTACCTATGCAGGAACAATTTTCCCATTCTGTAAATGGTCTGCAAATGCTTCAACAATTGTATGAATATTACCTGGTTTCATAAATTCTGATGAAAACAAGTGCTCGACAATAATAAGAAAATGCCGACATGGCATAAAGTCAGGCATCCCAACACTATTAACTTTTGGATCCATTGTCCCCATTTTAAGAAATGACATTAAACTTCATTTAGGACTCATTCCCTAAAAACTATATTACTGCAAAGCTGGAAATGAGTGTAAAATAAAACTGTTCAAGAATGAAGACAACTCGATTGGCAGATAAATCTATTTTCACTCTGCGCACAGTCTGCTCTAAAAGCATATCACAAAAGCACACAAAAACTTCACAACTAATTCAAACATTTCCAAATTAAGGTATAGCAATTTGACAGTCCCTTCTACACTATCAGTTGAGAGGGGCGATCTGTGATGCAAACAACGGTAGCTATTTATATTAATGTTATTGATATAGCATGAGGGCAAAAGTACAAAAAAATTCAGCCTCTAGGTCTACAATTGAACACCCTTATGATGACATTTGTTAACATTTGAAAGGCATTAAGTGATGCAATGGTTTTTAATAGCAACACTTAACTGACTAAATTTAGTAAACTGCTGCTAAATCCAAGTGGAATTAGGATTGAGCAAAAACCAGATTTGAATGATACGGCACTTTTTAAAAAAAGAATAAATTCTTCCACAGGATGTACGCATTGCTGACAAGGCCAATGTTTTGCTCATCCCTAATTGCCCTTGAGAAGATGTCGATGAACTGCTTTTTTAAAATATAGTTGTAAAGGAATTCCAGGATTTTGACTTATGACAATGATGGAATGGTAATATCATTCCAAGTCAAGATAATATGTGGCTTGGAGGGGAACTTCATGTCCACAATCATGAAATTAGAATGATGCTCATACATATAAACTACTACTCTTAAGATGATCAATGAAGGTTGGAAAGATCTTTCCCAACAGGAGAGGATTTCATGACCAGTTGCACTGAAATTTTGGAGGAAAAGAAAAAGTAAATTTTAGCAACAATTTCTGTCTCAGCTATCTCAAGAACACTTCAAAATGTATTCAAATGCAGTGACCTCAGTAAATAAGCATGCCAGGCACTTTTTGCACAATAAGATTCCATAAGATCTGTGCTTTTATTCTAAAGGTATGTAATGGCTGAAAGAGCAATGTCATTCAGGAAACCAATAGAAGCACCTTCTAAGAATTCAAGCCATACTTTGACTTTAACCAGAAATGACAGACAAGGCTTCCATTTTTCATCTCAATTACAAACAATAATTTCAACAATGTAGCACTATGACATTTTAGATTATTAGCTCAAAGCCCAAATCCAAAATGAAGTGCATCACCAACTGAACAGTGCTGACATAGTTTGCACTGAAAAATCAATTTAAAAACATTAATAAACACTCAATGGTGATTATGTATTTTTTTGTCCAGTATTAGAACTCTCAAACTGAAGTTTACTAATTTTGTCGATTTTATCCATAATTAATCTGAATAAAAAACTTTTTTATTCCTGAAAGTAAACTCATGTAAAACACCATGCTGAAAGTCCAAAACCTTACGCGACATCAATAAAAACTAAGTCCACAAACAGCTAGCTACACTAACAATTAGCAAGGAAATGTATTTTCTTGGCTAATACCTGAAAAAAAGTATTTCTGGCTAAAAACAGCAGCTTATATGGGAAAACATCTCTAAAATGGGTTAGAAAAGAAATAAAAACAAAGACCAAGAGTGACAGCAGAAAACTGTTAACATGACCACTCTCAGAATCATGCAATGCAATTTAGTGTCGCACATCAATACTGGGCATATCTGTTCCCCAAACATGTAACCACAGATTTTACCTTCTCCTCATAAACAGGATTCCCCAATAAACAGGAAATGTGGAGGAACTCCAAATGAAGAGTGCCAAACTCTGCAAGAATGCTCGCTCGTTGCGAGGCCCACACATAATTACGGCCTATCCCACTGGAAAGAGAGAGTCAGGTTCAGTTACAAATGGCACCTCCTCTCCCACCACCATTTTCCTTAAACATAATATGCAGCAAGGCAGCAGACAAGATCATAAAGACTAAAAACAGTCAAAGATGCTTCACTGATTGCAAATGAAGCTACATTTTGTAATCAATTACTCAATTATCAATTATTCTGAAAAACTTCTGAGCATAATACCCAAAAGCCAGGAAACTGCAACAAAATACTTCACTTCATGTTACAGTCCATAAAGTATAGGTAGGCTGTCACTGCTCTACGAGACCATGACAACACAAGGGGTGACTGTACTTAAACTGGAAACTCACATTAACACAAAGAGGAGACAAGGTGCTGGGTGGCACTATAATACTGTGCATCAATTTTAATATTCTTTAGAGTGCAAGCTTTAAAGATTACACACTCTGAGCCTACGCACTAAAAGGCTCTTCTGTCGTCATTAAGATATTTTTCATGTGTATAAAATTAATCTTTTCCTGAATAAAGTCTGTTTGATTATGTTTTAAGGACTTAAGCCTGGCAATTCGTCTCAATAGAAAGCTTTCTAAATTCACAGAAATAGAGGTTTACTACATAAACAAAAGCCTTTTGCCACATTCAATGTGCTGTCTTTTGAAAACAAATCCCTCTTCCTGATAGCCCCCAGAGTTCTGGATTTTTCTCAGCTTCGAGCAGTTAATCAAGTACCATTTAAAAACAATGCAATTGCCTCTGCCTCAACTGGTCCGTACATCAAGGCATTCCATAGTTTCACAACTCTGAACTGAACTATTTACTCATTCTCTTACCCTCAGTATTAAAAGAACTAGCCCTCATCATTAAGACCCCAACTAGAAGAAATTATCTTACCCTAATCTGCCCAGCAAGGCCCTTCATAATTTTATAAG